AAAAATACTCAACATGCAGAATACCATTTTCAGAATTATATTATATTCCTGTATTATTATTAAAGCGTTCATGTGCTCATTAGCTTTATTGTTGTTGCTATGTCAATAGTGCAGGGTAGATTAATTTATAATAACATATTATCTAACCCTTCTCTTGCGTTAGGTCATACCCCCCTTCCCATACTATTTTCGGTCAAAATTGACCGGTGTGTTTTGCACAGTGATATCTCTGGAACCCCTTATCCCATTTTGATGGTTGACATCTCATTTGAACAGTCAAAGCAAGTAGAATCAATGGGTGGCAGACATAATGACACCAGGGGTGAATTTCATGTTATCATTTTGCAGGTAGTTCAAACATAGTGCTTACTCTACATTACTGTATATTATAAAAATGCTTGCCATGTAGGCTGTGTTTACTGGAGATGGAAATGCTTCAGTTGGTGTTGTAGCTGAGATTATTCCCGTTCCAATGATGTATGGGATGTATTGATTTGATACAAGCAAGTTAGTGTTTCATTGTGTACTTTCAACTAGAGTATATGGTCCGGACCCACCAGTGGGCCCATCAAGTTCAGCGTTCACTGCATTCACTGTGATGAATATAAAATAAGACACTGATACTGTTTTCCTCAATGAACATTTAGAGAAAAATAAATATTCAGGGCTCCTCTCCCTCAGGGGCCTCTCCCTCAGGGCCTCTCCCTCAGGGCCTCTCCCTCAGGGGCCTCTCCCTCAGGGGCCTCTCCCTCAGGGGCCTCTTCCTCAGGGGCCTCTCCCTCAGGGGCCTCTCCCTCAGGGCCTCTCCCTCAGGGGCCTCTCCCTCAGGGGCCTCTCCCTCAGGGCCTCTCCCTCAGGGGCCTCTCCCTCAGGGCCTCTCACTCAGGGGCCTCTCCCTCAGGGGCCTCTCCCTCAGGGCCTCTTCCTCAGGGGCCTCTCCCTCAGGGGCCTCTCCCTCAGGGCCTCTCCCTCAGGGGCCTCTCCCTCAGGGGCCTCTCCCTCAGGGGCCTCTCCCTCAGGGCTCCTCTCCCTCAGGGGCCTCTCCCTCAGGGGCCTCTCCCTCAGGGCCTCTCCCTCAGGGGCCTCTCCCTCAGGGGCCTCTCCCTCAGGGGCCTCTCCCTCAGGGGCCTCTCCCTCAGGGGCCTCTCCCTCAGGGGCCTCTTCCTGGTCTGTTGACTGTTGGTCAGGCTCATAGTCTGGATCGCTGTTGTCTTCCATTTCTGAGACATCGTCCTCTATGTCTGGTTCAATCTCCTCTTCATCTGGTTCAAAACATTTGTCCAGAGCCTCTCTGACAGAAAATCGCCTCATCGGTCGCCTACTCATTGTGTCAATGAGTCAAATGTGAGCAAGGCACAAATATAACTGCATGAGAGACAGTAATGGAGGGGCATTTACTGCAAGAAAGTGAGAGGTTTTTCTTTCTCGAGGGGCACAGAGCTCGCACCTGTGAGAAGGTGAGAGGTTCCCGTAACTTAGAGTAAATTGTTTTGTCTGGAAGGTGTGGGGGGACATAAGCACAAGAAGTGTGTGTGTGTGTGTGTGTGTGTGTGTGTGTGTGTGTGTGTGTGTGTGTGTGTGTGTGTTTACATTTTGTTTCTTTCTTTCTCTTTTTCAGGCCAAACCAGTGAAGCGAGGCTCGGCCAACGTGTCGTTCGCGGATCTGTCAAAGATCGGCCAGCCGCCCAACACCAACAAGTCCTAGAAGCATCTGAGCTAATTAACAACTGCAGAGTGTAAGTCATATATTTTATAACATTACAAATATAGCAATATTTACATCGAATATGGTTGAAATATACAGTATGTATACCCGTAGAAATAAAATAGGAATAATACAGTATATCAATAGAGTATCTAAGGAATGCAGTGGGGTAGTGTGAGTACAATATGTGCACATTGTACATATGTGCTACATGGTTAAGCTGTACTGAAAAAAACATGTATACAGTATAATAATATTCAATGGTTAGACTAACTGTAGATCTCTCCTGTCAGATAACGTCAGCTCAGTGAGGTAAAGGACTCTCTCAGTGTTTAGATGGTTAACTTTTAGTTAGTTATCTCAGTGGGTCTCAAAACAGTTTGATCACCATTTAAGTAAACAAGTATTTCCGAGGCACACCTTCATATGATCATGTTAAGTTAATAGACATACAATACAAGTCTCTGCCTCACATGATCCCAGGTACACAAGTGTAGTCGCTTTCATTAATAATAACAATAATATACACGTCTAATAATAAAAAGCAATAAAAGCACAATTTCAAAAAGCGTAGGAACTGGAAAGCAGTTAGAATTAAAAGCAAATGAATCCTCTTGAAATAGAACATGTCAAATATGAACATTAATCCTTTCAATTGGCCTATGCATACAAATATGGTACGCTTCAAAATTGTCCTACGTGTTATTCCAGGTTGCAGATAAGCATTTCCCAAGCTCAGATGACAAGCTGTCCCTTGTCACCGAGCAGAGGAACGCGATCCTGGCTGCCTGGAATGCAGTGGAGGACCACGACAAACAGCATCAGAGGTTCAACCAGCTGTACAGAACGCACTGGGGCAACACCCTGTACTGCCGCACTAAACGGCACAACCTTGTCGATGCTGCTGTGATACAGCGCGTGAAGATGGGCATTCGCTACGCACCAGCACAACAGCACATTAGTGCAATGAACAACAGGCTTATGTACACGCTGGTGAAACTGCTGTGGTTGAAGTCACCACAGGGTTCTCACACTAGCCCTGAGAAGACCACTATCTTGAAGGCGTACGAGAGGATCCAGCACCGGGTTTTGGTGGACGATCCCGTCTTGTCTAAAGCAGGCTTTCCGCTTTCCCATCGTGCCTGCCATTGCTGGACGTCCCATACTGCCTGCCACCAGTACCATCGCCAGACCTGTGCCCTCCCTTTTCTCTCCCTTTTCCCTGGCCCCATCCTGCCTGCCAGTCAGCCAACCCCAGCCATTGCTGGCCCCTCCTCAATGCCCTTACTGCCTGCCATTCAGGCAACCCCGTCTGCTGATGTGTCTGTCCCCACTACTCTTGAGTGCATTCCCTCATCCTGGGCAAGGTCCACGCTTTACAAGCGCAAGGGGATGGACGAGCCCTCGGGAGTAGGAGCCAAAGTGTCCCGGGTTCAAAAGCTGCCGTCGTGCACGTGCTGTGGCCAACCCACCCAGGGGCACAAAAAGTACATCCGCAAAGTCTTCTGCCCTGTGAAGAGGATGTCTCCATCAAAGGGTCTGGAGAACACAGTCGACAACAGTTACCAACATTTTACAGCTGTTGTTGACGAGTTGAAGCAATGGCCTGTTGCTATGTAAATATTGTAAATAGTCATTTAAATGTTTATCATTTGTATTTTTCATGTTGAGTTTTATATTTATTATGTATATTGTAAATATATGTACGTTATTAATGTAAATAGTTTTATGTACATTACATTACATGTTACTTGTTATCCAAAGCGACTTACATGCTCAATACTGTTGGCAATCCCCACAGGAGCAATTTGAGGTGAAGTTTATTTTTCATGTCGACTTTTATATTTGATGTATATTGTAAATAGTTTTCATTCATATGTACGTCATTAATGTAAAAAGTGTAAATACTTTTATGTACATTACATTACATGTTACATGTTAGCCGCTTTCATCCAAAGCGACTTACATACTCAATACTGTGGGGTGAAGTGTCTTGCCCAGGGACACGACATGCTGACTGCAGTGGGGTTTGAACCTGTGCTCCCCTGATCCCAACACCAATGCACTGCGCCACAGCCTCCCTGTACATAATTGTACATCTGATTTGTATCCACTTGAGCTTTTTTACCTGTGTTTATGTTGTTGCTGTTGCCATCCTTTATACTGAATCAATGAAGGTGAATGGTTGCTCAGAAAAAGTCCTAAAGAATCCAACTGGGTTCAATAGCTGGATCATTCCTGTTCTTCTTCTGCAGTGGAGTGAGATCTCGTTGTTGTTGACTTGCATAACAACAAATGTTAGTTTACAAGAAGTCATTGATACCCTAACATTTGATTCATACCTGCTGATGAAAAATAAATCCTGGGATCTACAAAAGTCAATGTGTTTCATGCATCTGATTTGTATCCACTTGAGCTTTTTTACCTGTGTTTACCTTAGTTTATGCTGTTGCCATCATTTATACTGAATCAATTTAATATTTTGCCAGAAAGGTCAAACTTTAGGAATACAGAGCAGTTCTTATCATGATAATAATAAATTGGATTTTTATAGCGCTTTTCTCGAACCCAAAGACGCTTTACATTTATCATGCCATAACCATAGCCGTGGAGGCAGTGCAAACTCAAATATAATATTGGTGACAAAAAACACACAGAGCCATCAGTGCAATTGTTACATTCTAATTTCTCTGATATTGTAGGCGTTAATTATCTATTTATTATATGTAAATACTTTTATGTACATAATTGTATTTATAATTGTACATCATTTAACTGTAACACTATGGTGTTTTCAATTGAATGCACTTTATACAATAAAGTGGTCAGTGCTACAGTAACAGTGTGTCGTGAAATATGAATTATTAAATGCAATAATGGGGATTAATTTGTTTATCTAAATATAGGGACAAAGGTAGAGTGCCACATTACTTGCACAGTACACAATGTTCAGATGACTTTGCCCAAAAGCAAACATTTAAGTTGCTTGAGTCAGACTCAGAAATATTAAATCACTTTTAAAATCAGACTCAAGTCATAAGGAAATCCATAAAGATATCTCACAGAAGAAAAGACACATTTGAATGAAATAAGCTTTATTTGAATGAGACTTCAATTCAGAAAGACTCTTAAAATATAACTACAGCACTCAGGACATCAGGAGGAGGAAACAGCTAGCTTGGCTCTCATAGTTTTCCCACACTCTTAAAACCACTATGGTTTTTCTCCTTTGTGAACACGAAGATGTATTTTGAGAGTACCTGATGTAGTGAACGTTTTCCCACACTCTTCACACCAGTACGGTTTTTCCCCAGTATGAATACGGTGATGTATTTTGAGAGAACCTGATCTAGTGAAAGTTGTCCCACACTCTTCACAGCTGTACGGTTTTTCTCCCGTGTGAATACGGTGATGTATTTTGAGATCACCTGATGTAGTGAATGTTTTCCCACACTCTTCACAGCTGTACGGTTTTTCTCCCGTGTGAATACGGTGATGTATTTTGAGATCACGTGATGTAGTGAACGTTTTCCCACACTCTTCACAGCTGTACGGTTTTTCTCCCGTGTGAATACGTTGATGTATTTTGAGATGACTTGATGTAGTGAAAGTTGTCCCACACTCTTCACAGCCGTACGGTTTTTCTCCAGTATGAATACGTTGATGTATTTTGAGATGACTTGATGTAGTGAAAGTTGTCCCACACTCTTCACAGCTGTACGGTTTTTCTCCAGTATGAATACGGTGATGTATTTTGAGAGCATCTGATCTAGTGAACGTTTTCCCACACTCTTCACAGCTGTACGGTTTTTCTCCCGTGTGAATACGGTGATGTATTTTGAGATCACCTGATGTAGTGAACGTTTTCCCACACTCTTCACAGCTGTACGGTTTTTCTCCCGTGTGAATACGGTGATGTATTTTGAGATCACCTGATGTAGTGAAAGTTGTCCCACACTCTTCACAGCTGTACGGTTTTTCTCCAGTATGAATACGGTGATGTATTTTGAGAGCATCTGATTTAGTGAACGTTTTCCCACACTCTTCACAGCTGTACGGTTTTTCCCCCGTGTGAATACGGTGATGTATTTTGAGATCACCTGATGTAGTGAACGTTTTCCCACACTCTTCACAGCTGTACGGTTTTTCTCCCGTGTGAATACGGTGATGTATTTTGAGTTCTCCTGATGTCGTGAACGTTTTCCCACACTCTTCACAGCTGTACGCTTTTTCTCCAGTATGAATACGGTGATGTATTTTGAGAGAATCTGATCTAGTGAAAGTTGTCCCACACTCTTCACAGCTGTACGGTTTTTCTCCCGTGTGAATACGGTGATGTATTTTGAGAGCATTTGATCTAGTGAACGTTTTCCCACACTCTTCACAGCTGTACGGTTTTTCTCCCGTGTGAATACGGTGATGTATTTTGAGATCACCTGATGTAGTGAACGTTTTCCCACACTCTTCACAGCTGTACGGTTTTTCTCCTGTGTGAATACGGTGATGTATTTTGAGATCACCTGATGTAGTGAAAGTTGTCCCACACTCTTCACAGCCGTACGGTTTTTCTCCAGTATGAATACGTTGATGTATTTTGAGATGACTTGATGTAGTGAAAGTTGTCCCACACTCTTCACAGCTGTACGGTTTTTCTCCAGTATGAATACGGTGATGTATTTTGAGAGAACCTGATCTAGTGAAAGTTGTCCCACACTCTTCACAGCTGTACGGTTTTTCTCCAGTATGAATACGCAGGTGACGCTTTAAATTTACAGATGTTGTAAACGATTTGTCACATTGCTGACAGCTGTGATGTCTCTCTCTTCCTTTCGGTTTCTAGAACAGACGGACAGAGAAAGAGAGAAAGTCAATCTAAAAAGCATGAATACACAAGTTAACACAATAAAAACTCACTTAGTATAAACCTTGAGTTAACAAAATACTACTTACCAACTGTTTGGGTTTATTATATTTGTATTATATTTGATACAGCAACATTCTAACCACAGTATATACCAGAGGTGGGGGACTCGAGTCACATGACTTGACTTGAGTCGCATATTTTTTTACTTGAGACTTGCTTGACTAACATAGATAAAAATACTCGACTTGACTTGTGTAGGGGTGTAGAGTTATTTGTTCAAGCACCGGATCGGCAAAACAGGAGAGTCTGTGAACCAGTCTGCCTTGACCTATGTATTCATGTCTGTGACTCTCACAGTATCTGCTGCCCGCAGCTGTTTTATAGAAGGAAAACCTCCCCCACACACACACACACACACACACACACACACACACACACACACACACACACACACACACACACACACACACACACACACACACACACACACACACACACACACACACACACACACACACACACACACACACACACACACACTCTGGTTCAGCTCCGGTTTCCCTTTTCAGCTCCCGCTCTGTTCACACCGCCCAGCTGGCGCTGCTGCGTCATGACTTCACCGTTTACATCGCTGATTTTCTCCCCAACGGAGCTCACAACAACAATGGGGGGGGGACTGCGTCGGGTCGATGATCGTGTTGCTTTTAATCATACGAAGCCAGATTAAATTAAATAACGACTTCTCCAACCTTATACTTTTCTCCAGAGTGCCGTGGTTCATTGTTTATTAATGTGTTTCAGCGGCATTTACCGACCGCTGCATTGCTGGCTGCTCTTCCACGAGTGTATTCTCCCGTTAGCTCTGGGTTAGCTCACACGGCTCTAAAGTATTCACTGTCTGACTGTCACACAAGCAGCTGATACATATCCCCAGTTCCCCTTAAGTGAATGTGTGTCAGTCTGAATTGACGCTGTTTGGCATCACAACGCTGTTATGAAAGTTTCTCTGGTATAACATGGGTGATGTTAGCATAGCAACCGAAGCTAAACTGACTACTTGCTAAGCCGTTTTCTACAAGCACATTTTACCGGCGTATTTTTCATTATGATTCTACTTGTGATAGTCGGACATGACAACCTGTGCAGCCCATGTATTGATTCCATCCGATAGCTGCTATAATAACAAACAAAACGTCTGCCTGCTCTCCACAATGATCAATAACAGCGAACGGATGGTCAAAGTATGGTACAAATAAACAGAATCACACGAAGCCGGGTTAGTGTTGCCTGACTTTATAAAGTGTGTTTTTTTTTATAAGTGTGTGGTTGCCTTCTAGTCATTTTGCTCAGCGCTACTGCTTGTAGGCAGGCATGACGAGACTCTTCAGTCGACCCATGTTCAGGGGAGGTGGGTTTAGTTTCCTGCACGCCTCGACGTAAGAGAGACGTACGCGACGCCGCGTCATAGCTCCGAAGCTCTTGCCTCTAGACCGACAATTTTTTGGAGCTGGAAGTGAACCGCATTCCGGAGCTATGACGCGGTGCCGCTGCGGTGTGAACAGGAAAAAGCGCCGGTGTGAAAGGGGCATTACTCCCACCTCTGGTATACAGGAGACAGAGGGAGACGGCATCCTGTCACCGCGAGTCTCAGTATGCTCCGTTCGTCTTGTGTTTTTTTTGGTCTAATTATTGTCTAAACTTTGTCGTGTCTTTATGAAACGTCATTTTGAGAGACCATGCTTTTGATCCTGTGGATTACATTTACCTTCTGCAGACCATGTCTGGCCATACAACTTTCCAAGACACACCTGAGTGACAGCACGAACAGGTATGGCGAGGAGCCCCGGCCTCTACGGAAGGATTGTTTGAATGATGCGAGTAAACACAGCTGGCAGCCGCGGTGAAACTCCAGCGTTTAGAGCGATGCGATAGGAGCGATTAGAGCGAAGCGAATATTCGCATCGCGTCCGGTGTGAACGCAGCATTACGCTCAAGACCAAAGAAAAAGTGAGAGGGAGCATCCATTTTCACGATGTTCTGAAACCGGGATCTGACCAGAGCACCCTGAGCAGAAAACCCCAGCAGGTCAGACAGAGCTGAGTTTTTACTTTTGAAAACTTCAACATGTTCTCGCTCTCCTGTGGAGTCTGCCAATCCCTGCAGCTCCACCACTTCTTTCTCCAGAGCTCTCAGAGATCTAGCCATGTCCTTTGTGACATTGAAAGTGTACTCTTGGCAAAGCTGCTTGATTTTCACTTTACCTACATCCCACCACTGCTGAAGAGAATTGTACTCACTCTTAGATAAACGGTAGTTTTCCCAAAAAAACTTAAAAACATTTTTTAAATGGTTGTCAGCCAACAGAGAAGCATTAAAGTGCCAATACGCACTATTACACTTAACATGATTAATACAAAGTGAGACTTGTACGAGGGAATGGTCAGAGATTCCCACTGGACTGAGGGAGCAGCTTCTGCTTACATTAATGTGATGGTTAAACACATAGACACGGTCCAGCCTAGCGAGAGACAACAGGTTATCCCTAGAGTGCACCCACGTGTACTGCCGCTGGCCCGGGTGGAAGTGCCTCCACACATCACACAGCTCAAAGGTTTCTGTAAGTCTCATTAAGGCACTCTTTGAGGCGGCATGCGGTTCCTGGTGGTTCCTATCCAGCACAGGGTTCTCTGTGCAGTTGAAGTCCCCCCCCAGGAACAGATACTCCTCACTATCACAGGTGCTAAGAGTATCTTTCAGTTTCTCAAAAAACAAAAGCCTCTCTGTGCCCACACAGGGAGCATAAATATTTATAAAACATATTTTAACTTTTTCAAATTCAGCATTTATTTTTAGCAAGTGTCCTGGGATGACCTCATCGACCGTACAGGAGAAGGGTGTAAAGCCCCTTGCAAAGAGAATTGCAACCCCTCCACTATTGCTGCACTTAAGGCTGAAGAAAGCCTCCCCCCCCCACTCCCTCCTCCAGTCACTCTCGTTCTCAGCAGTGCTGTGAGTCTCCTGGAGAAACGTCACATTTAAACTCTTGTTTTCTACTAAAGTAAATAAAGATGCTCTCTTAGCATCCCCACGAGCACCGTTAATGTTTAAAGATCCCAGCTTTATGTCACTCATAATTAAATTATAGTTGCATCCTAACAAAATCGAAAACCTGGCTGAAGAAAAATAAAAGAGAAAAAATAAAAACAAGATGTACTTATTCATCATTCTTTGCATTTTCCTCTCTAATCCTCTGAAGTATCTTCTTTAACCTAGCCTTCTCTGGGCTGCTGAAGACAGGTTCCCCTAAGGCTTCTGGGCGCCGCATGAGAGCCCTGGCAGAATTGTGAAAAATCTGCAAATCAGCAAAAAAAATCTCTAACTTCACCCCCCTCAACCCCTTAGTTTCCACCAGAAAGGATCTGATCCTCTGGAAAGAGTACTCCTCTCCCTTTTCTACCTCAACTATGTCAAAGAATGACTCACTGTCATTGTCCTCTGAGTCCTCTGAGACTCCCTCTGGCTGAGAGGAGGAACACAGCGACTCTGTCCTTGACACCTTCCCTTTCTGTGCCACACTGCCTTTGCTCACTTCTTCGTTTTTCCTTTTGACAGGCAACCTTAATAAATCCTCATCCATTACAACATCCTCCAGAACAGACTCAGCTACTCTGGCTGCAGTGTACTCACTATCTGCTTTCTGTGTGACCTGAGTGTCTGTGTGTGTGATACTGTGTGTACCTGCCTGTGTGCTTTCTGTGTGTGAAACCGTTGGCTCTGCCACGGACCAACTGACCTGCGGTTCCACCACCGGCGTTTCTGCTGCGGGCGCGGGCCCGGCCGTGCACATAACAACCGGCAGCGGCTCCGCAGCAGGCGCGGACCCCAGCACCGGCGGCCCGGCCGTGGACAAAGGGACCGGGACTGACAGCCCGGCCGTGGACAAGGCAACCGGTAGCGGCTTCGCCGCGGGCAAGGACACAGTCGGGCCGGCTGCGAGCGCGGACACCACGGGCGCGTCCACCGCCCTCTCCGGGCACGCGCGGATCAAGTGTCCTGCCGCTCCACAACCAAAACATCTCAAAATATCAGACGTAACATGGACAGTATACACAAAATCATCAATTTTAAACTTGAGAGCCAGATTAAGTTCCCCTTCATCCTTCTTCAGGACCATCAGCACCTGTCTCCTAAAAGACAGAACGTGCTTGAGGTGCGGGGATTTACAGCCCAGGGGGATCATCTTAATGGGAGACGCAAGCTGCCCGTGTCGAGCCAGCTCTCTCTCCAACAACTCGTTTCTAAGAAACGGGGGCACATTAGAAATGATAACTTTTTTTTGCAGGAGTGACAAGGGGTAGCACGGGTAATATCGTCCCTTTAAATCACTAGCCTGCTCTCCACCAGCTGGTTGGCTTTCTCCGTACAGTCTAAAAATATAACCACTGCACTGTTCATGCGGGAGGCAGATTTAACTCTGCCATATCCAACCACAGCCCCCACAGCCAGACCACACTCCTCCACCGACACACCGTCAGGTGGAGAGAGCTTGATGGCGTGCTTGCGAGTCAGCTTCTCCAACCCGGCGCAGCTGCCACGGGACGCCATGCCGGGCGGCGTGACTGCAGCTGCAGCCGCTAGACAAACAATTAGACAAACAATTCACCAGTGCAACCACACAACACCACCAAAAAACACCAAAGTCGGTCAAGTGATGCACAATGACATAAACTATCGCCCAGAGAAAAGTGAATTATTAACAAGGGTTTGAAAAGTTGTAACTTTTAAACGATCGCTCTCCGCTATACTCACCGGTCCACTCACAATCAGAGAGAGAGAGAGAGAGGAGAGGAGAGGAGAGGAGAGAGAGAGAGAGAGAGAGAGAGAGAGAGAGAGAGAGAGAGAGAGAGAGAGGATATGATATATCGATAGTATATATATCCGATTAAGCTAGAGATACATGATCTCTATATCT